TTTATATTATTATTTTTGGTAATATTGTATTCATTTTTTATTTTTAGAGGATAGATTTAACTATCACATTGGCGAAAAAAATAAAACAACGGTTGTAGAATCTGAAACTTTAGAAATATCTAGTGATGATAATAAAGAATTTATTGAAAAAAAAAGATGAAGGAATTCAAGAAAAGCAGCAAATATATGATAAAAAAGTAACTATACAACATGATGATCTTGATCTAAGAACAGAGTTAAAAAGAAGAAGAGCCCTTCATTTAAAAACGGTAAAATTCAGACTATATTTGATATATTTGATAAATTAATATTTCAAAAACAATTAATTTTCTCATTAAAATTTTAGATTCAATTAAAAGTTATGAAAAAACCCAAATCGTTTAATCCTGCCCGGTTATTACAGTCTGCAATTAGTGATATTTTAAGATCAAGGTAATATTTACAAACTTAAGTTACAATAATTGTAATTAAAAATAAATTAATTCTTTACATTTAATCATTTTATATTTAGTGTAATTTTTTAAAAAATGTTAAAAGTGAGTTTAAAAAATACTAATTTTTAATTTAATATTTATTGAAATAATTTTATAAATTAAAATGTAATGCATGGACACTTTTTTTGACTGAGTGTATGTATTATATATTTATATAATATTAATATATTGTAGAAATATATATTGCATTAATAATTACTGACCACAATATATAGTTAGTGTCAACAATTATAATTTAACGTTCCAAATTAGTTGTGTATATATACTCGTATGGATACATTAGTGATAGGCATATTCGGATTCAAGAAATCCGAATTATTTGGATTTGTCAAATCTGGATTTAAAAAATTCGAATTTCATGGATTATCCGAACTATACGGATTATTCAATTTAATTTTGCTGTTCAATTACTCATTTTTATATTTACATAAATTTAACTTATCTTTAGAAAATTTTATTCAATAACCATTTTAAGGTTATGCAGTTAAGATAAGTTAATTGGGTATTCAGTCATATCACTGTAAGTCATAGAGGTATGAAGTAAACTCGACAATTTAGTAAATTATAATTTTGGTAACTAATAATACATTATAAAAACTGTTAAAATAATGATAAGTAAATTTAAATTCATAAAATATAATATTAATTTTATGTTACAATAAAGTTAAATAATT